TACTACAATACATACACTTATGTGTAAGATTTAGGTCTTTTAAAATGTGTGTTTAGAAAACTGGACCTGGTGTTTATGCATTTGTATTCAGAATAGTTAACCAGCTATCTGAAAACTCATGGGGAGTCTTTTTTAGAACAGATTGGGAAATGTGCTACTACTTTGATCAGCAATGTTCTTTCATCAGTAAGGAGACAGTCAACTTTCTATACATCCTGGGGAGGACATCTGTACATTTCATCAATACATATCTAGAATGCTAGAATACCAAGTGGTATCCTAATAGGTAGAGGTATCTCCAGATCTTCAATTTTCGTTTCCAATGATTGACCTATATGCTATTTTTCAATCACCTTGAAAGTATAACAATACTACAATAATAACATTTAGAAAGCTGTGTTGAGAATTGCAAGTAAGCAAGAACTTCATGCGCTAAAAATATAGACCCTGCAATAAGATCCTGAATAATTTTACTGATTAAATATTCCATTTAACAGGGAAGTTTTATAGGATTAGCTTCTTTGAATGTATTTCTATTCAGAGATAACAGAGAGATTCCATTAAGTCCTGGCAGAAACTGAAGAAAAGAAGTCACTGTCAAATCCATTTTATGCAAGTGAAACAAATTTAAGGAGATCATTTTCTGAAATATCTACCTAAAGGGGAAAAAAGCTACCACAAATTAGGGACATTTTAAATCATTTTATATATTCTAATCATTTCCCATACTTTTTTTTTTATCTTTATAACCTTTGTAAAGGTGGACTTAAAGAGAATGTGAATATACAAGTTTTATAGCCCTAGTGTATCTTTTTTCTTGCTGACTTTGTCAGGAATTGAAGATGAACTTTTTCCAAATTCTCTGTTCTTTGTATAAAGCATTTACTTTTTAAAAAACTGTACCAGAATCCAGAGAAGCTATCTGATGGTGGATTGGTTCTAATCTCTGAGAAGGCTATATGATTGTAGGTTTGTACGTGGGTGCTTGTGTGTACATATGCGTGTGTGTGTGTGTCAAGATTACACAGCCTTTATTAAAACATTTTCAGCTCTCAGTGAAAAGTTTATAGTGTAATATAGCTACAAAAACTTGTCTTCATGAACTAAGTATAAAAGAGTAATCCCATAAAAAGAATTAACCCTTATGTATCAGACAATAGACAAAAAAAAATTAATGCTGAAAAAAACCTGTCAAATAATTGTGTAAATGGAAAAGAATGCTGAAATAATTAATCACAATGGAAAATTTTGAAAAAAAAAAAAAAAAAAAACTACTTTAAAACTCAATCTGGTGACCAGCAGATGCCATTAGATGGCATTAGCAGTTATGTTGCTGCACTCCCACATGGCCCACCATGGTTTGAATCCTGGACCTGGTGGCTTGAAAATCATGCTGGGCACATGTGCACACATGCCCCACATCCAGGAGAATGGTGGGGAAGGAATTGCAGCATGGCCATCTCCATGGGGGATGATTTCTCACTTTCTGTCTTACCATGTCTGTCTGTCTCTCTTTGGCAAGTACATATTCCCTAAGGCAAAAATCTCTGAAAAAAACAAAACAACCTCAATATGGACCAGCAGATGACGTGGAGGTTAAGGTGGTTGGATCCCACATGGCAAACTTAGCAGTTCAAGTCCTATACATGGCAGCTTGAAAATCATGCCAGGCATGTGTACGTGAGTGTGCAAAATCCTGAGAGGAGATAGAGAAGAGTTTGATGTGTGGCCATCTGCACTGGGGGGTGCAAACGAAAATAATGATTGTTTTAAAAAATTGCAAAACTCAGAATGCTTTCTGTTTCATTTTTTTTTCCCACAAAGTGTTTTACTTAAGGTAAAGTCAAACATAATATTTGGTATTGGAGCTGACACTCACTGATTTGAGGGAAATAAGTACAATAGATGCACCTTTCTTCACGTGATGCTGCAACTTTTGCAATTCTTCACCTTGAGTATAAGTTGTCTTTTATTAAAATGATGACGTTTGCTTTCCCATGGTTAAGAAAGTATATCCAGTGAACTCTTTTAGCACTGATAATACAAGATGGAGTAGTCATTTCCAGGCCAACAATTCGTATCACTCTATCTTTATTAGTCAAAGTTAAGTGCCCAATAAATGTTCTCTGGTTTGACCTTCTAAGAGATGAAATGGTCACCATAACAATTATAAAAATTAATCAGTATTCTATCTTTTTAATAATAGCACTTCCATTGCATTCCCCTGATTATTACTCCATCTTGGCTCTGTGTCAGCTTTGTAATATGCTTTTGAAAATAATTATATATATTGCTTTTTTTTAAAATCTGCAGGGTCATTTATCACTTATTTTGTAATAAATATTGAATTAATTTAACTTCCCTTTGGATTCTCCTAATGTTCATCATGGTCTTTTATAATCACTTTTTTTTTTTTTTGAGAGGTTTTTGCTACAGGGCACGTGTGCTCATCAGAAAGACAGAGAGAGACAGAGAGACAGAAAGCGAGAAATCAGCCCCCAGGGGGGATGGTCACGCCGCAATCCCTTCTCCTCCATTCTCCTCTTGGGATCTTTGGGGATGCACGCACACATGCCCAGCATGAGTTTAAGCCACTGGGTCCGGGACTCGAACCGTGGTCAACTACATGGGAGTTCAGCGACATAGCCATTATGCTAACTGCTGGTCTCTATGATCACTTTTTTGTGTGTGCATTCTTTTTTTTTTTTTTTGAGAGTTTTTTTCGCTATAGGGCATGTGTACTCTTCAGACAGACAGAGAGAGACAGAGAGACAGAAAGCGAGAAATCAGCCCCCAGGGGGGATGGTCACGCCGCAATCCCTTCTCCTCCATTCTCCTCTTGGGATCTTGGGCACACACGCACCCGCGCCCGGCGTGAGTTTTAAGCCACCGTGTCCGGGATGCGAACTGCAGTCGACTACGTGGGAGTCCAGCGACATAGCCATTATGCTAACTGCTGGTTCCCTATAATCACTTTTATGGAGTTCCATAAAATATAGAATTTCTTGCTGATTGATGTTTTTCTTTCGATCAAGTATTTCTTTTTAAGCAAACTAGACCTTTTCAACCCAGTCAAAATTTCCATCCCACAAGTTTCTGGTGATATCTTAGAAACTGCTTTTTTTCTTTACATTGATGATAATGTGTATGGTGATATCTTTGGACTATCTACAGTGTATTCATGCTGGGAAAATTCATTTTTGATGCTGTAAAGGTACATAGTGATTAAATATGTGAACAAGAAAATAAAAGAAAGAAAAAAATTTCAAATTCACTTGATCATTTTTTCATTCTCCCCCCACCTTTGCTCTCTCTGCTTCTCCTGCATCAAAGGTATCCCTTCTTATTTTTTACTACATATTAAGTATTCAATCTTTTTCCATCTTTATTTTCCTCATCTGTAATGGGACTGATAATAATCTCAAAATAATGTTTGTGAAGATTAAATGAGAGGATATGGGTCACGTGCTTGGCCTGAAGTTACTGGAAACACAATGCACCTTAGGCAAATACAGCTCTCTTCCCTGTGAAGCCACAGCTGAAGACTCCCTTTAATTTGTAAGCAGTAGAGGAATTTGCATCCTCAAATACACAACAATAAGTGACTAATCACTTCCATTTCTGTTTGATTTTCTCTGAAACCATGCTTATGGGAAATGTGCTGTTACAACAGTTTTTTGTTTTATTTTGTTTTTTTAAGAATATAAAGTAATAAACCTAACTGAAGAGCCATTGACAAAATTAGCTGCAAGAGATGCAAATTCTGTGGGCCAGAAATATTTTGGATGAATATTTTAAATTATTTATGGGGCCAGCAGGTGGTGTGATGTTTAAGGGAGCAGGACTCCCACGTGGCCACACAGTTTGAGTCCTGGACCTGGTGGTTTGCTTTCTTACTTTCTCTCTCTCTCTCTCTCTTCCTCTCTGATCAAATTAAAATAAATAAATAAATAAATAAAGCTAAATGAAATAATTTTTTAAAATGTAATTATTTGCAAAATCATATGGATGGTGATTTTATTCACATAATTGTTTCATAAATATATAGCACAACTGAACAAAACACACCAACTCCTGTATAAGTTTTTTTTTCAATAAACATGTAAAATTACCAAAATTTCCAAACTCTTTGCCTTTTTATACATATATTGGCCAAACACAGTAATATTTCTGAGTGAAAATATAAAGAAAACTTAACATTTTAGTCCTTGTGTCCTTGTTATACTTGAAAGAATAACCAATGATCTAATATGATATTTTATCTTTTATTTTGCATTATTAAATACTAATGACAGTTTTTATGTATTTTCTTAAAAAAATACAAAAATGAAATGTTCTTAATTTTTAGATGTTGCTGATTCTTACAAAATTACCTTGCCATAAAGTGCTGTGAAATGAAGTAACTGAATTTTCATGGAAACTCAATAACACAATCTATAAAGACTCTTTTAATTGAAGAATAGTTTTCAACCTGAATTAGTCAGAAAATGTCTTACTACCTCTTACTTCCTATGAAAATACAGTAACAGACTACATTGGTTGAAAGCTTAATCAATGGTGAACCCTAAAAATTATTTTTGATTATCTTTAAGAACTGATCTTTCATCAATATCTGACAAATGAAACCAAACACACATTCATTCATACACTCATTCATTCAAATAATACCTAGAACATGGGGTATTATTAATATATTCTGTTTGATTTTTCTTTATAATATTAATGTACTACCTAAATGTTTTCTGTTATCATTTTACAATATTATGTGAGACCTGGTCAAAAATAAATCTTTAACATTTTCCCTCTAGCTTTCTATAAAATTCTTGTAACTTTTCCCTATTACTTTTATAAGTTAAAAGAAATTCTTCAAATGCCCTTGTTTCAATATTGGCAGTTCAGTTCTTATTTATATATCAATCACATTTAGAATTGGCAACATTTGAAATCATATAATAATCAGACAGACCACTTGAGATATATCATTGTGTAGGTAGTGACAATTTCTTTAATTTATCCAGAAGAGGGGCTTTAACACTTATTAGTTAAAGTGTGTAGACACGTTTAAGGCCTCTTTCATTCCATTTAACTGCTGTGTCTAGCTGGAGCAAGAGTGATGGCAAAGATCTTGACCTTGAAACACTGGTTGGATTAAAGGATTCAAGTGGATGATAGAAGTTGTGGCTGGATTTAAGTGAGGACCAAACAATGTGGGGATAAATGCTGCAGGAGGCAGTGGCTGAAGTGTTATATGAGATGGGTGGAAGGGGGCAGCAGTGACTAAATGCAAGGGATGACTTGCTAAGAAAGTGGGGTGTGCAGGGATAATGGTTGGAGTTAAAGTTGAAAATGAGATAGGAGTAAAATGTGGCTGTGAAAGAGGATGCAGATGAGCTATAGGGAGGTGACTGCTATGGGAACTTATGGATGCAGAAACAGCAAAATGCTGCAGGAACGTCTGGTGGATGGTGGTGATAGAAGCGTGCTGGTGCACGGGAACGGTCTGTACAGCTGAGGCTGGAGAGAAGGCAGCTGTCCCTGCAGCAGGCAAGACTCGAAGATGCTTTGATAGGAGTTGTTTCTGCATGTGCTGCTGGGCTTGTAGCTGTAGGAGCTTGTATTTATCTATTTCATCAGGAGAAAATGTTATGGGCTGTTGAATTAAAGGGGGAGAGAGAGATTTATGACACACTTCTAATTCATCTTCCACTTTGTCATGCTTCTGCATAGTTTTATCATAGTAAGAGTTCATATTCCCCTCTCCATGATTCATATGCATGCTTACATCCTGTAAGTCTAGATTTACAGGGTCCTCTTTGGTCTCTGTCGAGTCAGTAACACCAGTATATCTATTAGATGGAGAAGCACCAGGGAAGTCATTTGGTACTGGGACACAGCTTTGAATAAAATGTTGAACTTCATTAATTAGAGGCTTTGATTGTTCTTGTGTTGCTGAGTTCGTTTTAATGTTTGGTGACTGAGACTCTGTTACTACATGAGTTGTACTTTTATAAAGATGGTTATCACAATCAGTGTCTGCTAAGACAGTAACATTATTTGTCTGTGAACTTTGGGTTTTGTCTTTCTCAGTAGTCCTTTGAACCACACTGCTTTTATCATTTCTTCTTTTACTTGCGTTCTGTATCTTTTCAGATAAAGGCAATGCTGGTACGAGTTGAATTGCACATTGGATTTGTGAATGAGTCTTTGATTCACTTTTACAGTTGTTGGAAGAGACCTCAAAATGTGTTGATTGTTCCTGATACTTCTTGGCCTGTACTCTCTCTAAAAGGCATTTGGCTGTCAGGGGAGTCCTTTCTGCCTCTGTAATGCTCAATTTTGTGGCTTCTGAAGGACCATGGGCACAGTTCCTCAGAAGGCAGTTGCTCTTTCCACAGTTACACTGCACAGGCTTGACTTTTCCCAAATCACAGATGTGAGGGCTGCCCAAAGACTCTTGACTTCTTTCCCTTTTATTTAAGTAATAAATTCCTCCTCGTGTACAAGAGCCCAATCTGTTGTGTTGTGGTCCCTGACAATTAGGTGGCTTTTCGCTATTTTCAGCACAGGAAACCTGTGAGCCAGAATCACAGTGGGTGATTCTGGTGGATTTCGGCCCTGAAGGTTGTAGCTGATTTCTGCCCAGTTTGTATCTTTGTCTGCAGTGACAATATCTGTGTCTTGAGTATTTTTCATTCTTAAGTGACTCCCACAGTTTGCAACTCCTGTCTCTGTGTGTTTCAGACTGCAGACAATCTCTCTTGGTTGTCTCCTCAGGCAGGTAGAGGCAATTGTGCTTTCTGCGTTTCTTTTTGTGCCGTTCAACTGAGTTGTGTTCTCCTTCACACAAATGGAGCAAATTACCACCTCCATCACCACTGGACTTGTGACTTGAACAAGTCCGTCTCAGACTGGGCATGCTGCTGGGGGATGTGTCCAAAGAGCTCGATGACTTTGGGGAACATGAATTGTAACCTTGGTTTTGATATCCAGAAACCGTTCTGGTCATATTGAAATGGTTTTTATTCAAAATTACACCCAAGTCCTTTCCATGGTCACTGTAATTCCCCACTGGGTAATGACTAGAATTCCCATTTAATTGCTTTTCATCTTCAAATTCCAAATGAGAATCACAGGGAATCAGTTTATGCTTTTTACTCCTAGTTTTGTAGGGAGGAAAAGATACATCCTCATTGACGTCATTTAAAACCATCTTTTGGCAGCTTTGCCGATGAGCCCTTGAAGGTTCCTTATATTCATTTTCACCATCATTATTCTTTCCTACACAATCTTTTAGAGACATATCGAGGTAAACAGGCACTTCACGATTTTTCATTTCCAAATCACTTGCACTAAAATTATATTGACCTTTATTTGGGTCAGAATCATTACAGCCCAAATTATACTTTCTCTGAACATTTTCCCAATCTGGATTAGCTACCATTATCTTTGGTTTCAGAGACCGATTCTCTTCTTGGATCAATTTCTGTGAGTCTTTGATTAAACCTAAGACTTGGCTCTCGATTTTCGTCTTTACTTCCAAGGACTCCTTATCCAATTCTGTTTTTAAGTCCTCTAAGTTATGGCCATCCTTTGAGTTCCGAGAAAGTTTAAAATCAAAATATAGTGGGTTGCAGCCATAAGAGATGCAGGGTTCTGTTTTTGTAAAGAGCAGAAGTTCTGAAGGCCATTGGAGAGTTGTGTGGCCATCTCTGCTTTGCACATGAAGAAAAGGCAACCTTTTGGGTGTCGCCTCACGGGGACATGCTTCTCTTACACGTCTTTGCACATTTTTTCTAACTCTTTCTGTTTCATCTAAAGAATTTCCTTTGGTCTCCATTCTGGAATTGAGATTCAGATGCACTGTGTTTTTTTGTTCACTTGGCTCTGGTGATGAAAACTCATCCAGACATTCAAATATCTTGGCATTACTGGGCTGATAAATGCTTGGTGGGTGAGAGGGAGCATTTGCCTGGCATGGATGATTAATGTGATTTTCTGAGGTGTTCTTTAATGAATTTCTAGTTTCTTTTTCTTTGCTGAAGGGAGTAAAATCTACATCTGAAAAGTGCATGGTAGATTTAGAGAATGAAGAAGCACATATGCCAGTTGCATCTTTTAATGTCTCATCAATAGAGTCATTTTTGTCTTGTAGAAGTTCAGAGCTTATGGAGAAGGTGTTGTGTAAAACACTTTCCAGATGGCTTGGTGAGATGTTTACATCTTTTTCCTTGGTGAGGTGTGTGTCCTCATTTGCAAACCTGCCGCACTTGCATTTCTCCAAAGTTTGTTTTGCTTTATAGATGGGTGACTTGCTACGATCGTGGGTTTCTTCTGTGTTCTCGCTGAAAACTGAAGCTGAAGATTCTAATTTGAGGTGCACTTTTCTGGAAAAAGAAAATGATACTCCTGTTCTGTGATTTGCATTGCTGAGATTTGAAGATGTTTGTGCTATCCGATTTCCAAACAAATAACGTCTGTCTGTTTGTAACTGATGTCGATTTGGCACAGTGGACCGCTGTTTTTCAGAAATACTTCTGGGGAGATTCTTTCCTTTAAGGAGAAGAGCACTCTTCATACAAGATACCTTTCTCCCATTCTTCACTGGAAAAATTCCTTGCTGGAGTTGTTTTTCTATGGCTACTCTGGGGGCTTTGTATGCTGGTCCACTTCCAGAAACACTGCAAATACAATGAATATTTAAATGATTAAGACATTAGATTTACAATCTTATCTACAATGTGAACATATTCTATGATGAGCTATTCTACTATTTATGGCTATAGCTTCTGCAATATAAACATTTTATCATGCTTCCACATGCCAACTGTTTTATAGTGACTTTCTAACATGCATCATGTAAGTATATCACTTTGAAGTGGCTAAAAAACAATAGCAAGTAAATATCTGATGATAGTGATACAAAATAAAATAAATTACTGCACTTACATCACAATGCATATAGAGAGATATGCTAGAACATTTGAATTCTCTAATATATAGTTAACATTACTTCCACAAAGACTTTTCTAATCATTGCATTCAAACTGAATAAGTAATTAAATAGAGGGTTGGCTTTGTGGTGCCATGAAATCCACTGCTCAAGAAAAATCAGATCCCACATGAAGACTTCAGTTCAAATCTCCTGGCTGGCTAATCTGAAATAGACCAAGCATGTGTATAAATGCTCAAGCTCTTAGAAGGTGGAAAACTGCGGGAAGGGGATCTATTAATAGATAGCACCAGACACTCTCTCTCATTCTCGCAAATGTATTTGCATGCTTTATCATGAATAAAGAAAAAAAAACACATTAAGAAAGAATGAAATGAAATTAAGTCACTTTCAAAGTATAATTTTTTAAAATTTGCTTATATATATATATACATTCTAATATTTCATAACTTTAGTTTACTCGTTTTTAAAATTCTCTGATGTTTCTTCCTTTTGAAATAGGACAGTTAATTTTTTCTTTATGACTTGTCACAAATATGACTAATTGAAATAAATAGATAATAAATATCATACATTTGCAAGCCATTTTAGTATCTTCAGTGATTTTGAAATCTTTTGTTTCTTACTCGGCAAAGTATTTTTTCTATCATTTGTGCATGTATACATTTTATCTTTTATGTTCGTTTTGTTTTATGAGAGGTTTTTGCTATAGGGCATGTGCACTCGCCAGAAAAACAGAGACAGAGAGACAGAAAGCAAGAAATCACCATCCAGGGGAGAAGGCCACGTTGCTATCCCTTAGCCTCCATTCTCCTCTCAGGATCTTGGGCATGCATGCACATGTGCCCAGCATGAGTTTAAGGCACCGGGTTCAGGACTTGACCCATGATCAAATACATGGGAGTCCAGTGACGTAGCCATTACACCATCTGCTGTTCTCATATGTTTTATCTTTTAAAAGCTTAAAAAATTATTCATTCTACTGAGATTTTATTAGTAATTCAAACAGAAAACTAGAAGTGCCGCCACATGTAAGAAATAAAATTTCATTTATTTATTTATTTTAATTTGCTATAGTGCATTTTCACAACCACTCTCACTGGAGACAAAAAGGGAAAGTGAGACATCACCCCCAGGATGTATGGTCATACAGCCATCCTTTCTCCTCTATTCTCCACCAATGATTTGGGGCACACATGAAAACATGCCCAGTGTGATTTTCAAGCTGCTAGGTCTGGGACTTGAATTGCAAAGTCAGCCATGTGGGATCCAGCTGCCATAACCTGCCACCTGCTGGCCCTGAAATTTTAATCTTTAGATTAAAATGATGTTTAGGGACCAGCAGTTGGTGTAATGGCTATGTCACTGGATTCAGTGAAATAGTCAACCGTGATTCGAGTCCCAGACCCTGTGGCTTAAACTCACGCCGGGCACCTATGCGTGTGTGTGCCCAAGATCCAGAGAGGAGAATGGAAGAGAAGGGACCTTGGCATGACCATCCCCCTGGGGTGGGGGGTGATTTTTCGCTTTCTGTCTCTCTGTCTTTCTGGCTAGTGCATGTGCCCTATAGCAAAAAACCTCTCAATAAAAAAAAAGATTAAAATAATCTTTAGATATAAAATTATCTATAGATTAAAATGGTTTGTTCTTTTTTATATTCTTCCTTTGTACTATAAAACAAAGCTTTACTGAAGGGAAGACATTATAAACCACATATGTATTTGGTCATTTATTTTGAACTAGTTTTCTCTTCCTTTTTCTATTTCCACGTGCTTAGATTTACTTGTCTGTTTTTTCACTTTTATCCATTTATTTGTTGTTGGAGTATAAAATACTAAACAGCTTAAATCTTCTCCACATGTACCTTCAATTTAATGGAGAGTAATGCTTTCTGACCCTTAGGCTGAGAAATTCTCTCTTGTTGGCTTCTCTTACAACTATAGGATTTGGCCAATCAACATAGAACTCTGTAGTCACATTACTTTTATTCATCAAAATTTCATGTACGTCAAATTATTATCTTTTTTAAAAAATTATTTATTATTATAATTACTTTTTTGAACTGGGTTAGGGCACATGTGCTCACCAGAGAGAGATGGAGTGGGGGTGGATGAGAAAACAAGCCGCCAGGACCAGGACTCAAACCACTGTTGGCCATGTTCATTAGTTCATCACCTAACAACCATACTACCTGTTGACCCTACTTCATCATCTCTATAACCACCTGTTGACCCTACTTCATTATCTTTATATTTGTAATACTGCAGATATATTTAATTAGCCACTTTTGATTTATTTTTGAGATGAGTCTTCTTGTGCATTTGTGTAATTTTGCCTTTTTGTTTATAATAATTTCATTTGTTTTATCAATGTGGTTATATTTGCTCTATTTTTTAATTACAAATATGTTTTATCAGAACATAGCAACAGTTTGGTTTCTTTTGCTTAACTGTTACTGATTATTGAGCACTCTCAATATAACTTTTGTCAGTTCAGATAAATTTTCTTCTGTGATTTCTGTGATTATTCTTTCATCTCTATCCTAATTTTTTGTCATGATATTTATCTGTTGAAATTACTGGCTCTCCTGAGAATGTATTTCAGGTCATATTATTTATCCCAGTAATCCTTATTATTTGTCCCAGTATATTTAGTCTTTTGGTCTATTTAAGGGAGAATTTCTTGTATTTAATTTCCACTTTATTGACTCTTTTATTTTATTTTTTTAAGTTTTAATTTGCTTTAGGATGTGTACACTCACTGGAGAAAGACAAAAAGACAGAGTGAAAGGGGTAGTTCTGAAGGGGGATGGCCATGCTTCAATCCTCCATTCTTCTCTTGGGATTTTGGACACACATGCATATGCACCCAGGCTGCTTTTTAAGCCACCAATCCAGGACTCAAACTGCACAGTCTGCCATGTGGTATCCAAGCCACCCTATCCACCACACTATCCACCCATTGACTCTATTTTTCTTTTTCTTTTTTTTCTTTTTTTTGGAGAGGTTTTTGCTATAGGGTGCGTGCACACGCCAGCCAGACAGAGACAGAGAGACAGAAAGCGAGAAATCACTCCCCAGGGGGGATGACCATGCCGCAATCCCTTCGCCTCCATTCTCCTCTCAGGCTCTTGGGCATGCACGCACATGCGCCCGGCGTGAGTTTTAAGCCACCAGGTCCGGGACGCAAACTGCAGTCAACTACATGGGAGTCCAGCGACATAGCCATTACGCTAACTGTTGGTCCCCCCATTGACTCTATTTTTTTTTATAATATCCAATTTGTTGTTTATTATGCCCAAATAAATTTTAATTTATATATTAACCCCCCATCTAGTTTTTAATGATTTCAGGTAGTCTGTTCTTCATGATTTAATTCCTGTAGCTTTAGAGTTTTGTGTTCCCATGGGTCTTGTGTAAAACTAAATTTAGAACTTTTCTAAAACTATTTTCTGTTTCTCATAGTAATTGCTTCAGAGGGGAAAACCTTCTTTTATTCACCACATTAATCCTCCTTCTTAAAACCATTTTTTCAAGTTCTTCAGGAAGCAGTTTAGGCATATTTAAGATGAGAAATAGGAAAGAACACTCTAAGATACTGTATGGGTTGTTAGATATTTTGTTCAAGCAAAAAAAAATAAAATAAAAGACTTTCACACACACACACACAAAAAAAAAAAAAAGAAAGAAGAAAGAAAGAAAGGAAGAAAAAGGAGCCTAGAGGTTTACTATGAAAAAGAAGAAAGAAGAAAGAAAAAAAGGAAGAAAAAGGAGCCTAGAGGTTTACTATGATGATATTGGCCTTTTAAAGTACCTACATCCTAGAAATAGGATGAGATGTTCAAACAGTTACAGTACTAAACTCATTAAACAGATTCTTTTCCACATTTGTACCACATTTAGGATTAAGAACTATACTTAATTGTTACCTTCTCCAGGAGCTTTAAACCGTCTGGTATTATCTGCACTAATCTCAGCAGAAATTGTTCCCAAACTCTGGAAATACTGATAATACTATTCTTCCCTTTCTGATTCCATTACGATGGACATATCTTAGTAGTTTTAAATTATATTTCATAAATAATTTTCTAAATAATATTTTTGCTCATTTTCCTGGCCCCATTTTGTGAATTTCCTTGTTTTGATTTATGTGAATCTTATGTTCTTTTCTGTATTACTGATTTATTTTATTATTTCTTTCTCTAATGTGCAAACTTCTCCATTTATGTTCTCTGAAATAATTTTAATGTATTTTGTTGTTTTTATTATAAACTGTTCTTAACTTCTTATTCTTAATTCTTGTTCTCATTTCACAATTTAATCTGCTTTATGATTATAGCTGTTTAGCAGGTTTTAATATTTTATCCTCATTGTTAATCTTTGATACCTCTTATGGTTTCATATTAAACTTTTGACTTTGCTGTTTTATAAACTTTCTTTTATCTTTACTTTTTTGTTATTTTTGTAAATTTTAAGTTTCTATGCAGTGTTCTAAATTATATCATTTTAACACAAGTTTATGATTTTTATCATTATGAAGTCTTTTTTTTCCAATTCATCAGGGTATGATTGATAAAATGGTACATATTTATGCCATCCAGTGTGATGATTTGTTACATATATACATTGTTAAATGATTACCACACTTGAATAGATAGATATATCCATCATCACACATGCTTTGATTTTGTGTGTGCTTGGTAAGGATATATATCATCCACTCTCTTAAACAAATTTCAAAAGCAAATACAGTATTATTAACTATGGTCACCATGCTCTACATTAGAACCCCAGAAATTATTCTGAAAGTTTGTAAGCTTTGACCAGCCTATGGCTAGTTCCCTCACCTTCTAGCTCCGGGAAACCACCATTCCACCTTCTGTAAAGCTATAAATATATTTTTTCCTTTTAGGAGAGAGGAAAAGAGAGAAGAAAAGACGGAAAGGAAAAAAGGGAAAAATTCAGGACCGATGTTTTTGACAGAGCCTAACTGTCGTGATACTCCTGCCACAGCCTCCCAATTAACCAGGACCACAGCTGCAGACAATAGCACTGGCATGTTCAGGTAGTACCGGGAACCAAACCCAAGCTTTCCATGCAGCCACCAGGTTCCCAGGCAGTTGTGCCATCAATGTATCACAGCAGCTGGGTCAACTTTAGTTTTTTTTAATAGGTTTTTGCCTTAGGGTATGTGTGTTTGGGGTGTGTGTGTGGAAAGACAGAGACAGTGAAAGGGAAAGTGAGAAATCACTCCCCAGGGGGGATGGCCATACTGCAATCCCTTCTTCTCCATTTTACTCCCAAGATCTTGGGCAGATATGCACACACGCCTGGCATGATTTTTAAGCCACCAGGTCTGCCATGTGGGAGTCCAGCAACACTATCTTCTGGGCCTCCCTAGCATTAATTTTTATAGATACCACCTCATGTACTATTTCACTCCCTTTTTTAGAACATTATTTGGTTTATTTCTGAATTATTTGTTTACCTTATCTTTTTTTTTTTTTTAATTGCCAGTGGGCATGTACACTTTCCAGGTAAAGACATTGAGTCAGATAGACAGGGAGAGAGAAAAAAACACCCTTCAGTGTGGAGTGGTCACACCATAATCTCTTTCCTCCATTTCCCCATTCCGTTGGGATTTAGGATACATATGCACACATGCCCTGTGTATTTTTCAAGCCACCTGGACCAGGACTTTAACAGCAGTTGGCCATGTGTAGTCTGCTTCTCTTAACCAGTAGACTATATGGCCAGCTCAAATTATTTTTATTTATAATGGTTAGTAAGAAACTATAGAGTTATCTCTTTAATTCTTATTAATAGATTGTTCATTTCAGTAGTTCACAAAAAATTTTAACATTTAACAAGTGTGCAATTTATTTTTGTGCAAAAAGTATACTTTCCAACAAGGAAATAAAGCATATCAAAACAATATAAATTTTTTTAATATTGTCATTTCCTAATGTCCCACACTATCCAGCTGTTATATAAAGAACTTTGTATTCTCAGAATCAACAGTTCTAAAATTTTTTAATTTTTGGAAGGTTTCTATGTCAAAATGTACTAAGACCTATACAAACGAGCATTCACATCAGAAAGTGAATATCCCCCGTGTGAGAACTAGACCTACTGGAGAATTAGGTTGGGTGGAACTAACCAAGAGATGACCAAAGTTGACTGTCCTTTATAAGATCCATTACAACTTTTCTCTATTATATTTTTCATTAGTGTGATTCAAGTAGTTTTACTACTATTAAATTTATCTCTCTTCTCCACACACTCATCAAAGAATCTTGTTATCTGGATCATCCTATTCAGAAGCTCTCATTATGAGGATAAAGGAAAAGGAAAGGTTGTCCAGGAGAAGGGTATAGCTGATGATTTTTTCTTTTTCATTTTAACTTTATTGTCAGTTGCCAAGATATTTAGTAGTTCTATTAAATACTTCCCTTAAGTCATGAGGTTGTTTAAACAGAAAGAGCAATTGGTTGGAGATCCAGAAGATAGGAAGTAGAAAATAAAAAAATAATTTTCCTAGTTCTACCTTCTATATCTAAAACGTTGGACATTTGTCTTTTTCCTGATGTTATGGACATATCATAGTCTGTAGAATCTACTTGCTCCATAAAATACTCCAACCAAGTGGTGATAAATTTTTCTTTGTTTAGTAAATAAGGTTTCTAGATAGACAGTTGAAATCTAATAGAGTAGATCTTTTAATTTGGGGGATCCAGAGGGGATAATGCTAGCAACTTAGAACTTTTAAACAAAAGCAGCAGCAGCAGCATCCACACCACCATCACCACTGCCATCATCAAGGTTCCTCTGATCCTTTGACATTTCTTCCAGAGGAAAATACAGAATGCGAGAATAGAAATGCAGAAGTATGACAACTTTGTCAGTGACAAAACAACCAAAATTGTTTGTTAAGGCTAGTCAGATTTGCTGTTGCGGCTTTAAGAGAAATTTCTCTGTGATAGGGCTTGTCCTATTTTTTATAATTAACTTATTATAACACCATTAATCACTCAAGAATTAACATCTTTCCTAGATTTCTCTCCGTACACACTACCCTAACAATCATAGGACTTTGCCTTCTAAGTCCTGATTTGACAATGACTATCTAAAATCTTACTGACAATCTGTTTGAATAATGTATTGTAAGTTCTTCATTTTACTGGTTGGTCAGAAGCTCAGTTGCAGGTGTATGTTCTTCTTCTATAATTGTACAGAAGCTCAACATATTTTTATATTAATCTTAGCTAAGGCTGCATGTTGTATCCTTATTTTTTCCTTATATTAAATTTCTTATTTATTTTTAATATGATAATTTCAATGCATTTTCATAAGTTAATTAAATTATTCTGAGAGTTATAAATACAAACATATATGCAAGCTGAATATTAACTGTATTTTTACTCATAATTGGTTCTAACAAATAAATATTTCCTTAGCGTTGCATTTGAAGTATATTTTGTCATATAATTTGAGCCACTCACTGCTGTTTATTGTATATTGTTTTCCATTTAAACAACAGGGGTTTAAATTCTAGCACAGAGTTATAAATTTCACAATTCACCAGGTTGCTGTCAACTACATTAATTAGCTACATTAGTGGTCTATATTATGATTCATATGAACACAAATCACAATCTGCACATTTAATTGCATTCCAGGTAACAACTTTGAAACATTCAGTGGCTTCTAGCTTTTGTTAAGCTGCTATTTTTCAGCTACAAGAATGTGTTCGTGTAATGCTTGTTATAATTATCAATTTAAACAGCATTGTGTGGCAAATTTAACTGCATTAATTACATCTTGTTTGTCAGCCAGACAATAATAGTGTCATTTTTTTTTTCTGGATTTAGGTGTATGCAGGGGAATATTCATATTTATTTCTTCCCCGCAAAGATGCATTTTTATGAATAGTTTTAAAAATTATTATTACTAAACTAAAATTACTAAAGAACTATACCAGTCCATTTAAGTCTCCTGGATACAGTAATCATGAGTATATTTAAATCACTCTTCAATCATTTCATTGAAGTATACATAGCAATACTGGGAAGGAAAAGTCTTAGATGTCAAAAGCAATTAATTTCTGTACCTTTAACTTTCAGGATTATTTGTCTATTTCTTAGGCATAGCTGTTGATGAGTTACAATTTATTTATAATGTTATAGTAAAGTAAGCATATTTATCACTGAAATTTTCCAAATTTGGAGAGAATTTTAAACCATCCCAGATACTTTTAAGTCTTACCATTCTGACTGCTGCCTTAACTCAGCCAGCTGATGAAGTCGTTTAAGTGCTTTTTCTTGTTTCTTTTCATCTTTCCATGACTTGGAAGCTACATTTCGAGCAAATTCCCGTTGCTTTAATTCTTTCAGTCTCTGTGGAAAAACAGAAAACAAAAACAAAACCCAGAAAGGATACTATAAATAAATAAAATATTCTTTTTCAGCCGCAAAGCTTCTTATTAAACTTTTTCCTGAGTGTAGAGGTGACTTTCTGGACAGGGAGAGGAAAAACACCTCCATCGATGCTATTCTCTGCTCCCAGATACATTTAGTAGATAAATGTGGTTGTCATCTAGGGTATTTCTCAGCGCTTGTCACAGTCACTGCAGAAATGTACTGCGAAGATGGACCCAGCCCTTGCTGGGATCACTCTGACTACACGATGGAAATCATCTGTGCCTGTGAAAACACAAATGGCAATAAAATGCAATCTATGATTTCGTATGAAGAGAGAGGAGGGTATGGGATGCACTTTCCTCACCCTACCTACCCCAGCTCCTCACGGGTAACACCGATGCTGTTAAATACACTGGGTAGAATGGGCTTGTTTTAGTAAAGCGCATCTGTTACTGTCAAAGGTTTAGTTCAAAGCACTAAATGTGATTCTTAATTCATTTTCCAGGTGGAGATATTTATCAAATACAGATTTCTATATTATATTCAAGAAGACAAAAATGGGTCAGGGATTAACACTCAGGATAGAGGCTTGGCTTTGCTTGATTAAAATTAACCTCCCATTTCTTTTAATTAATCTTTTCTCTAAAACACTTGACTTACATGCAAATTAGAAGCTGCTCATTACCTTTTTGGGTTTCTCCTTTAGAATCTGCCACTAAGCACACCTAATGATATTGAACAAATTGAGAAACAGCCACAATCAAATGAACATCTTGAAATTTGGGGCTTAATTCAGAAGTGTGAGTGTTTGTGAAGATTAGCCTCTTTTAACCTGTACAAAGTGATTTTTAAACAGTTGAAAAATCTATATCTGTTTAATTTATTTTCACTTCCCAAATTAAGTATAAAGAATGTTTCTCAGATATGGAAAAATCTAGATGGCTATCAAGTGCAACAATAATACTGCATCTGATTCTTCTGCACCCACGGAGCAAGAACCCAAACCTTTAATGCTCATTCACTCTTGAAAGGGAACATTCTCATGGGAGATGCAGAGAACTGCATCTAAGCTAAGTATCTGAAGATGGAGGCAGACCCGCCTGTCAGAGAGAGAGTAGTCTGAACACAGAATACAAGCGTCACAGAATCAGAAACAGGCAGACGGAGAATAGTGGAGTCAACCTGAATTCGATTTTTGACAAATACTTCTGATCTCTTTAAAAAACAGAAAATGTCAAGAAACAAAAATATGCCCACTGTGTTATTAGAAAATAAAAGGATCAACAGTTCTCAAGAGTCTTGGTAGATAGGTTTGCTCAGAAGACAGGAAGAAGCTTAGAAAATCCTCCTTTCTACACAATTTCCTACTCACACTTCCTTAGATGCCATATGCTAGATAATCTAATTCTTGGAGGGAAGGCTTGTCTTACAAGCAAAGACCTTTTGGAAATTTTTGTACTCAAGAAAACACATAAAATGCATTTCAACTACGTCAAAGAAAGAGGATGACTGTTTTAGAAAAGAGAAGAGAGTTGTTTTGTTTTGTTTTTCTGCCAGTTACTATTGAGTGTAAAGTACTCTATATTACATACATTTAATGTATAATGTTACTAACACATAAAATGTGTATAACCCAGGGAAGAAAATTGGTTCATTTAGTCACAAATAATTGACACTTGATCCCTCATCATTGAAATCTTGTTTGAAACTCTGAGGTACATGTATTTCCTGCATTAGGATTCCAGATTCCAGGACTGTATTTCTATTTCTGAGTCATAGAACTGACTGAAAATATTGTCTCACTCATCCAACAGCAAATACTATTAATTCTTACTATGCTAATCTCTCCTAGTTCTACTGAGGGGTATAAAAATGTACAAATCAATTATTTTCTCTTCAAGGGAGAAAGGATTGCCCAGGTTTCTACTTTTCTTTCATTGTCCTATTTAGGACTCACATCTGTAAGTAACACAAACCATAATTGTCAGTAAAGAAAAAATAAACTGGGAGAAAGAAAAAGTTCTTTGAGGACATGTACTTGGTCAGCTTTTACTGAGAACAATTTGTGGCATACAAATTTCAAAAAAAAAGGCTACTTCACACATTTATCAAAAAAATTGAAAACTAAATATGGTATTGTAAAACCAGATGTTGAACCATGAATCTGTTTTATCATTTTACGGCTTCTGTAACAGAGAGGGTATATAAGGTAGGATACCTCACAGTCTTATCCTTTAATGATAAAAGTTAGATGTCAGTAAAGAAAACTAGCCAACATAATTATGACATAAGAATGTTATATTTTAAAATACACTTCTTGCATCTATTAAAACGGATTATATCGGGGCCAGCAGGCGGCATAGTGGTTAAGGGCACTGAACTCTCCCACATGGCCGACCACTGTTTGAGTCCTGGACCTGGTGCCTTGCTTTGCTTTCTCACTTTCTCTCTTTCTCTCCCTCCCTCTCTCTCTCTCTCTCTCTCTGGTCAAATAAAATACGTAAGTAAATAAAGTTGAATAAAATAATTATTTTTTTAAAAAAGATTATATCACTTTTCCCTTCATCTATTTATGTGATGAATAACTTCTGATTTTATCATTTACTTTGCATTCACAGGATAAATGCTGTTCCATCATTATAGGGTATATCATCATTTCCAATCACTGATAGACTTGATTTGTAATATTTGCTATGGACTTTGCACCCAGGCTCCTAAGTGATACTGGTTAGTATTGCTTCCTCTTGTAAAAATAGTTTTTGTCTCATTTCAGTACCATTGTTGTCCATTCAGGGTGCTGTAATAGGATACCATTGACTGGGTAGCTTAACCAACAAACATTTCTTTCTAACTATTCTGGAGGCTAGAAAGTCCAAGATCAAGATGCCTGCAAATCCAGTGTCTGGGAACTCTTCTTAGTTTACAGATTTCTCATCACATCTCTTATGGCCAAAAGCAGAGAGGAAGTAAACTCATCTTTTTTATAAGGGCACTTATCCTATTCATGAGAGCTCCAGCCTCATGGGCCTAATTACCTCCTAAAGATACCATGTCTTTTTTTTTTATAATTTATATATATATTTATTATTATTCACACATTAAATTGCTATACATCATTTAGATTGTGAAGAGACTTTACCCAGCATGATATTCACCTCAGTCCAGCCCAGTTGGACCACCATTTGCATCCTCAACAGATAATAGACCTTATCTGTGTCCCACAAGTGTCTTATCTCTCATCCCCCCCCATTTCCTATGCTCTTCCCTTCTCACACTCTCTTTCCACTTTGTCTCTAGTGTCCATTACAATTTTTAAAACTTTTATGTTCTCCAGTCTTTCAGTCTGTACAATAGAAGGCAGACAGTCAGTATATATTAAGTGGAAACATGCAATGTCTTACTTTCATAGCCTGACTTGCTTCACTCAGCAACAAATCTTCCACATTCGTCCATTTTCTATCAAAATCTGGGGCCTTATTTTTTATGACTGAATAGTATTCCATGGAGTATATGTGCCACAATTTTTCAATCCATACATCTGTTTGTGGACATTTGGGTTGGTCCCATGTCTTAGCAGTTGTGAATAAGGTTGCAGTGAATATAGATGTGCAAGCGTTTTTCCGACTGAGTGCTCTCCTTTCCTTTGGGTAGATATCCAGGAGTGGAATTGCTGGATCATATGGTAATTCTATTTGAAGATCTTTGAGGAACCTCCATATCATTCTCCACAGTGGCTGGAACAATTTATATTTCCACCGGTAGTGTAGGAGTGTTCCCCTTTCACCACATCCTCTCCAGCACTTATCATTACTTAATTAATTAATCAATTAATTAATTTATTTATTTTTGGAGAGGTTTTCGCTATAGGGCACGTTTGCTCACCAGACAGACAGAGAGAGACATAGAGACAGAAAGTGAGAAATCACCCCCCAGGGGGGATGGTCATGCCGCAATCCCTTCTCCTCCATTCTCCTCTCGGGATCTTGGGCATGCACACACACGCGCCTGGCATGAGTTCTAAGCCACGGAGTCCAGGACGCACGAACCGCAGTCGACTATGTGGGAGTCCAGCGACATAGCCATTACGCTAACTGCTGGTTCCCAAGAATGTCACATTTTTTTATAGCCACAGGATTCCATGGCCTCCATGTAATCATTGGTTCAACATTCTTACTAGTTTGCTTTATATGTCAACTAAAATTTCACTTTACATACAATCACCATTTCGAAGTTGAAGCAGCAGTATGATACTGACATTTCGTAGACGTCATAAACGATTCCTCTATGTCTCAATTTATTGATGAGGATTTCAATTCTCTTATATGTAGTACAACTGACTTCCAACTAGTAAGCCCCAATAAAACATTGGGAGAGAATAATTAACCTGATATTAGCCCTTGTTAGTAACACATTACTAGCAGCAGTCCTAGTAACCATTGCATTCTGACTACTAACACTGTGTATTAGGCAGGCATTTCTTTCTTTCTTTTTTTTTTTTTTTTTTTTTTTTTTTTTTGAGGGTTTTTTTTGTGCTCGCCAGAAAGACAGAGAAAGACAGAGAGATAGAAAGCGAGAAATCACCCCCCAGAGGGGATGGCCACATCGCAATCCCTTCTCCTCCATTCTCCTCTTGGGATCGTGGGCATGCATGCACACGTGCTCTGCGTGAGTTTTAAGCCACCAGGTTCGGGACATGAACTGCGGCTGACTACTTGGGAGTCCAGCAGCATAGCCATTACGCCAACTGCTGGTCTCCTATTAGGCATTTCTTAAACACTAGAGAGAATCACCATTGAAACCACGATTTCCTGGAGTTTTGTTGTTGTTGGAACTTGTTAAATCATGAATTCACTTTATACAATGTTTACAAGACAAACTAGATTTTTTTTTTTTTTTTAAATCAGGTTTGGTCATTTGTTTCTTTCAAGGAATTTTTTTTCTATTTATCTAAAATTGCCAGATTTTTTTTTTTTTGC